GAGGGGCCGCGCCGCGCCCGCGTTTCGCCTGGTCGGTGCGASGGGATGGCGCCCTGGGGAGACAGGACGAGCGATGGGCTGAACTAAAACACATGAGTTGCACCTCAGCACGCTCGTGGGAACGGCCTGGAGCTGTGTCAGGGGAGGTTTGGGTGGATATCAGGGGAAGGTTCTTCCCCCCAGAGGGTGCTCGGGCTCTGAACAGGCTCCCCAAGGCAACGGCCTGAGTTGGTCTCCCCTCAGTCTCCTCTTCTCCAGGCTCAACAGCTGCTGCCTTGAATGTTTTAGTGCAGGTCTAAAGCTACCAAGAGGTCAAGAAGTTTTCGGACAGGGCTGTCGGGGACAGGGTGACATTGTTGGGCTGTCCTGTGCAGAGCCAGGAGGTGGATTTGATGATCCCTGCGGGTCCCTCCCAGCTCAGGATATTCAGTGATTCTGTGCAGAAGAACTTCTTCACACTGAGGGGGTCAGAGCACTGGGACAGGTGCCCAGGGAGGGTGTGGAATCTCCCTCTCCGGAGACATTCCAAACCCACCTGGACTCGTTCCTGTGTCACCCGCTCCAGGCTGAACTGGATGATCTCCAGAGGTCGCTTCCAACCCCAATAATTCTGTGATTCTGTGACTGCACCCACCATGTGCCTGCCCGCAAATACCGTCACCTTTATTAAATTATAAAACCGTAAGCTTTAAAATTTACCGTATAAAATAATCACAGGTATTAACAGCAAAGAAAAAAAATAACCTTTTTTTTTTTTTTCCCAGACACAGGAATTTGCTCAGATTTTACCCAGAATAATTAACACCCCCCCTTCTGCTGCAGGTACCAACCCAAGCTCGGGCCAGGCCAGCAGTGGGAGGGCAAAGCAGAACGAACAATCAAACACAAAATAAACAATCATGTCAGTGGGATTTCTCACCCCAAAGCTTCTCCTGCTTCCAGCACGGAAATCCCTGAAGGGAAAGGCCCGATGAGGAATTATTGCTTTCTATGGTAACCGGTGACACCCAGCCACACCAGTGGCATCAGGTTACCCTGGCAGCACACACCCACACTGGTAGCACCTGGGTCACACCAGCAGCACCCAGGTCACACTGGCGGCACCTGGGTCACACTGGTGGTGCCCAGATCACATTGACAGCATCCAGGCCACACTGGTAGCACCTGGGTCACACCAGCAGCACCCAGGTCACACTGATGGTGCCCAGGTCACACTGACAGCATCCAGGCCACACTGTTGGCACCTGGGTCACACCAGCAGCACCCAGGTCACACTGGCAGCACTCAGGTCACACTGGTGGTGCCCAGATCACACTGACAGCATCCGGGTCACATTGGTGGCACCTGGGTCACACTGGTGGTGCCCAGGTCACACTGACAGCATCTGGGTCACACTGGTGGCACCTGGGTCACACTGGTGGTGCCCAGGTCACACTGGTAGCACCTAGATCTCACCAGTGGCACCCAGGTCACACCAGTGGAACCTGGGTGACACTGTCAGCACACAGACACACCAAGGTAACCTGGGTCACACTGGCAGCACCCAGGTCACATTGGTGGCACCCAGGTCACACTGGCAGCACCTGGCTCACACCAGCAGCGCCCAGATCACAGTGGTAGCTGCTGGGTGACACTGGTGGCACACAGGTCACACCAGTGGAACCTGGGTCACACTGGCAGCATGCAGCCACACTGGTGGCACCTGGGTCACACCAACAGCACCCATGTCAACACCAGTGGCACCTGGGTCACGCTGGCAGCACACCCAGGTCACGCTGGTGGCCCCCAGGCCACCCCGGCGGCCTGGCACGGACGGCACGGCTGTGAAGGAGCGGCGGTCACCTCCACAGGGCTGGGGCCACAACGCCGCTGTGCAAACCAAGACAGGGGGGAAAAAAGTGCCTAAAAGTGGTCAAAGTTGGAGGAAGCCCTGAGGGCCCAACATCCCCCCTCCTGCCATGCTGTCCTGGATGGCAGCAGCAAATGAAAGATGGGGGATACGGGTGGTGATGGGAGGGTGACACTGCTGGGTGCAGACAAGTGTCCTTCGCTTGTCCTGCTTAAAAAGTGGGAGTTTGCAGAGGAAGGGGAGGCAGAGGGATAAAGTGCAGAGCTGAGCTGGGCGCTCTTCAAAGCAAAGAAATAACCCCGAGGAGGCAAATCCTTCATTAGTAGCTCTTTCCTCCCCAAAGCCACCTGAGGGGCTCCCAGCAGCACACACCAGACCGACCACAGCTGGAATGAAACCAGCAGGGAACGATGGATTTGAGCCCTTTTCTGTAGATTAAGGATGGGCAAAGACAACTTCCCTGGTTGCCAAGTTTCTGCCCTTGCTTTCTGTGTGCCCTAAAGTAAGGCTAAAGTGAGACAGACGCTGCAAAGGAGACCATGGCCACCTCGGGAGACCATGGTGATGCTCCTGGCCAGGGTGAGACACTACAGTGTCCTCAGATCAGCCAGGACTCTGCAGCACATCCAGCCTCTGAGGCACAGCAGGCTGGAGAAGCAGGGCTGTACAGCTCAGGCACCATCCTGGACCATCCAGGCAGAGCTCTGCCCACACCAAACCCCCCAAAAAGGAGGAAAACAGTGAATCCCTGAACACCAGCAGCCTGGATCCTTACAGAGCTCAAGTCAAACTTACACTAAACCCTGCACTGCTGCAGGTTTCACAGCTCTGGCTGAGATGCCACTGCTGCCTCTTGCATGTCCCCACATGGGGTTTTTCACATTCGTGCCAAGTCTGATCCTGAATCCAGGGCCCAAGTCCCAGCCTCATTCTTCCCCCCCCGAATCAGGACCAGGTAGGAGCAGCAACACCTGTTTCACAGGGAGAGAGGCTCCAGACCCCAGTGGAGGCTGAGGCCAAGGGCCCAGCACTCCCAGAGATCAGCTTCCTCCCTCCCCATCAGCACCAAGGGCATGCAGCAGCATTTGCCCCCCAGATCAGAAGAACTTCTCTTGGGTTCAAATGCTGACTGCAGGATGGCAGGGGAAGCCCCTGTCCCACAGGCCTCTGCCAGGACAGGGGGCAGAGAGAAGAGCCCAGCAGCCAAAGCCTTGGCTCCAGCTCAGCGTGGGCAAAGCCCAAGCCTCATGGATGCAGCAGGGGGAGGAAAAAGGGTTGGCCATTTCCCCTAGGGCCATGGGGAGGTGGGGGACAGGCTATTCCTTGATCTGGAACCATGAAGAGCCTGCCCCATCCCAGCAGAAAAGCAGAGGTGGCCTCAAACTCGTCTCCACAAGACCAGCCCACCATCTTCACCTTTAAACCCGGTCCACACTGGG